GTCATTGTTTCTTGCAGCTTGTCTTCCTTCTGTACCCATGATTCCTATACCAACATATGCTTCTTGTATCATGCTTACATCATTGTCACCATCACCAACAGCCAATGTTACAGGTTTCTCAGGTGAGATTTTTGTCAGTTTTATTACCTTGGCTTTCTGTAGTGGTGCCATACGACAGCACAATATAGCTGTAAACTGTATATACAATTTCTGCAAACAGCCCTGGCCGTTTGGCTCAGTGATAGAGCATCAGCTGGTGGACCAATGAGTCGTAGGTTCAATTCCATTTGCGGTTTGTCCCCGGCCCTGGTCGGGGTCGTGTGGGAGGCAACCAGTCGATGTGTCTCTCTCACATTAATGTTTCTCTCTCTCTCTCCCTCTTTCTCTTTGTCTCTCTCTCCCTCCCACTCTATCAGAAGATAAATAGGAAAATATCTTCAGGTGAGGATTAAAATATTTTTTTTCTGCAAACATCCATAGTTTTTCGTGCTCCCTGAATGCAAGAGATAGGCTGATCCAATCCCCCACCAGCCCATGCTGAATTGCACGGTCCTCTGTAATTCTTCCGGCAAGCTGCCTCAACTGTTCAGTACATTCACTGTCCAATTTCTGGTTTATAAGTTCAAGGGTATTCAAGGTTCTGTTAAAATGTCCACATGATAAATTCACACAACAGCTGTTTCATGTGTATCTCCATTAAGAACCACATACTTTGATACTAGCCATTCTCAGTGCTTCGATCGTTTCTTTTTTTTTTTTTATCCTCACTCGAGGACATTTGTTGATATTTTGTTCAGATAGAGTGGGAGGGACAGAGAGAGAGAGAAACATCAACATGAAAGGGACACATCGAGTGGCTGCCACCCGCACGACCCAACCAGGGCCGGGGACAAACTGCCACCAAGGTACATGCCCTTAGCGGGAACCGAATCCGGGTCTTTCCAGACCACAGGCCCACTCTAACTACTGAGCAAAACCAGCCAGGGCGATCGTTTCTTGAATTTTATCTTGTAATCTGTCTTCTGCTGCTGTAGCTCCAAGTAATATCAGGTCTTTCTCTGTAAACGGAAGACATTTGCCAATTTCTCTTCCCATTGCTGCAAGTCAGTCCTGGCTTCAAATAGGTGTCTGTCTATTACTTCATACTCTACTCTTTAGATGTCAACTGTCTATAGGCCATGCACAGAGTTCTTAGCTCTTTCAAAGCAAATTTATCCACATGAATTCTGTTTTTTTCTATTTGTCCACTTATACATTTAGGGAGAATTGATGATTTAGCTCCTTCAGCAAATAAAAACTTCCACCTGAAGGTGCCTGAACAAGTACAATCATTCTTCTACGATCTGAATCAAATTCCAGAATATAAAGCAGTTTGTACTGTTCCAGTTTTCCAAGTGTTTTAACTCCCATAGTTTCTTCGGAATTGCCAATTAATGCAATACCAATTTTTGCAGCAGCTTCCACGAAAGCCTTTTCATCTGGTGAAGATGCATAGTACTCTAACTGAAGTGTGCAAGGTTGGATTCAGGGACTGTCGCCAATGCCATCAATCTGAACATTACTAATCTTTACAGTGTGACAGAGATGGACTGCTTTAAAGAAGAGATCGTGTTCTTTAGTTTCATTTTCAGGGCTGGTTCTAAAGAACTGAATGTAAGAGGATGAGTTCTTAAGATGGGATAAATTACTAAGATAACTTATGGTTCCTTCTGAAGAGTCTGGTGTTGGTATTTCGGATATACGTCTACCATTGATTTCTTGGTATTTTATGCCATTGCTTGAATATTCCCCAAATTGCACCTCATTTTCTGTCAGTGTGCCAGTTTTACCTGCAAACACACAATCCACCTGAACAAGTTCTTCTTTCAGATCAGAAGTACTGACTTGAGCTTTCTGATCTGATTCTTCATGACAGAGATCAAGGTCTCAGCCAATAAAAAGTGATCCAAGCCCCGGCCGGTTTGGCTCAGCGGTTAGAGCATCGGCCTGTGGTCCAGAGAGGCCCGGGTTCGGTTCCCGCCAAGGGCATGTACCTCGGTTGCAGTTTGTCCCCGGCCCTGGTTGGGTTGTGCGGGTGGCGGCCACTCTATGTGTCCCTTTCACATCAATGTTTCTCTATCTCGCTCTCTCTCTTCTTCTCTCTCCCTCCCACTCTATCTGAACAAAAAATGAAAAGAGTGTCCTCGGGTGAGGATGATAAAAAAAAAAGTGATCCAAGAACTTTCAGCATTTTGACTGTCCCATATAATTAAATTGGAATCATGAAATTGTAGAATGCCAAGAAGGCAAGGAAGTCTGAAATAAATCTCAGAATTTTACTATTTCTTTGATGTTCTGTTTGTTTATTATACCAAGTTTATCCTATTTTTATTCAGCTTGTCATATATATTTCAAGATAATACTAAAAAAAATACAAAGAAAGATAGTCCTGATAGCTTCAGAAATAAGGATTATTAGATAAATTATAAAAAATATATTCATGGACTTTTCTGCTGCAGATCGTTTCTGTGACTTGCTCTTGTAATTTAATGCCATCTTTGTTTCTATTCTGGTGTATATAGCAACACCAAAAATTTCTTTTGTGTTTTTTAATCTGGCTCCACAAAGCAAGAGACTCTCTGGCCCCAGAGGTCTTAAGTTTTTTCATTTGTTGAATTATTGTCATTCACCCCACGAATCTGTACAAGTCTGCTTCTGGTAGCTGGATTCTATCACAGCCACGAGAGTGTCCAGATTGGCAGCTGTTTGTAATGCTGCTGTTTCTGGAACTGCCACATGTGTCTTTAGGTTTGTTTCTCCATCCAAACTAGCAGTTTCAATGTGACAAGAATCATCAAGCCCATTTGGGGACAGAAGCACCAAATCTGCAGGGGAACTTTCCTCTTTAGCTAGTCCAACAATATCCCCACCTGAATGTTTTCTGATCTAGCTTTTACAAGGCCACTCCTTCAAACAATATAAACATTTATTTCATTGTCTGTGTTATGTCATAACCAGTCTTCATATCCCTCCTTTATGGTGGTTACTGTTACCACAAAGAATAATGGAAGTCCACTGGTAATTGGACTGGTGGGTGTATCAATCATATATTTTTGGTCCTAAGCTGAACCAAAAATATAATAAGAAAATAAAAGTTTGCCACTCCTGAATTTTTTTTTTTTTTTTATTTTAGAAAGAGAGTAAGGGGGAGAGAGAGAGAGAAAAAGAAAGATCGATGAGAAAGAACATCGATCAGCTGCCTCCTGCATGCCCCCCACTGGGTATTGGGCCCACAACCTGGGCATGTGCCCTGACTGGAAATTGAACCGGCGACCTCTTGGTGCATGGGTCGACGCTCAACCACTGAGCCACACTGGCTGGGCTCCTCTTAATTGTTCAAACAAGTTCTTTGGAACAAAACTCCACACAGTATACTTAGATGAAATGATCTAGTTATCTATAAATTTCTGAGGTATGTAAAGGCAATTCTTAGGAAACCTGTTGGCTGTGTAAATAGTTCTTTTGTCACTTTGATATGGTTGGTCAAAAGCCAGCTGCTGCTAGTCCCAGTGCCACATATCCCTACCCCCACCATCCAGTCCCAGGGGACTCGGGGTTTCAGGAGCTGCAGGTAGAGGCTGCAGAGCCAGAGGGGGAAGCGGGAGAGCCCCTCTGCTGCTGCCACCTCCCTCCCTCCAGGGCCATCCCATCTCACCCCCTACCCTGGCCACCCCTGGCCTGGTGCAGCTGAGCCTGCCACCTTGCTGTAGCCACCTTCATTGTTCTAAATTAATCATAGGTGTGTATATATTGCAAAAACGTAGTATATGTAGGGTTCGTGCTGTTCGTGGTTTCAGACATCCACTGGGAGTTTTGGAACATATCCCTGTGAATAAGGGGGGACTACCATGAACATATCTCCTTTTCCCCCTTTTGCTTTTATTTTTATTTATTTTTTATTCCTCACCTGAGGATATTTTTCCATTTATCATCAGACAGAGTGAGAGGAAGGAAAAGAGAGAGAGACAGACAGAAACATAGATGTGATAGAGTCACATCAACTGTTTGCCTCCCACACTACCCGACCCCACCAGGGCTGGGATTGAACCTCAACTGAGGTACGTGCCCTTGACCGGAATTGAACTCGTGACTCATTAGTCAACAGGCTGACGCTCTAAATGCTCAGCCAGACTGGCTAGGGCCCCGCTTCTGCTTTTAAACTTTGTCTCTCTTTTTTCTTTTTGATCTTCACCCAAGGATATTATTTTCCTTTGATTCTTAGTGAGAGTGGAAGGAAGGGAAGGAGGGGGTGAGAGAGAGAAAGAGAGAAACATCAATGTGAGAGAGACACGTCGATTAGTTGTCTCCTGAAAGTGCCCCGACTAGGTTGGGGATTGAACCCATGACCCTTTTTGATGCACAGGTCAACGCTCTAACCACTGAGCAACACTGGCCTAAACTTTGTCTCTTGAATCTTCGAGTTCTAATAGGCCACTCCCAAAACTGATGAAGTTTTCAAATGTTCCTTTAAGTATCTAGGTAAATCCTTGGCAAGACTTAGACTCTCTCCAAACCTTTGAACTACTGGAAGATGGAGGGCAGGTTTGATTTTTTTTTTCCAATTACTGTTGACATTCAATATTTTATATTAGTTTCAGATAGGTTTGATTCTTCAGACCACATTCATAGTAGTCTTTTTCCAAGTTCTTAGTATTCTCACTGATATTGCTTGGAATACTGATAATTGAGCAATAATTTCTTCAGAATTTCATGCAATACTTTTTGTATTGATTGATTTGAGAGCGAGAGAGACATCAATTTGTTGTTCCACCCATCCATGCATGCATTCATTGGCTAACTCTTGTATGTGCCCTAACCATGGATCAAACCCACAACCTTGGCAGCTCAGGACAATGTTCTTACTAACTGAGCTGCCCAGCCAGGGCTCATTTAATAATTTTTAATTTTCTTTTATTATGCCACCAAACATTTTGATATGTTCAACAATTTTTTTTTCCCTAGGGGAGAGCATGTACACAGTCTTCCACTGCCACAAATTATGCAGCTGAGTTTCTCACATTTGGAGAAATTGCAGGGGTCAGCACATCCAGAGTGCAAAGGATAAACCTCACTCAGGGAAAACTACCACCATGACCATGGTATCTTCCCTGCCAGGTAAGTTTTCAACAGATATTTTTTTTTTTTTATGAATTTTTATTTATTTTTTTGTTACAGATATTTTACCTTTTTACCCCATTGGCACACCCCACCCCACCCCACCTCCGCCCCGTCCCCAGCTTAGTTGTCCATGTCCATTGGTGATGCAAAGATGCATATAAGTTCTGTGGTTTATCTCTTCCCGCCCCCCCACCCCCTTCCCCTCTTCTGAGGGATGTCAGTCTGTGCCCTACTTCCATGTGTCTGGGTCTACTGTATTCCTCAGACTGTTATGTTCATTATATTCCGTATATAAGTGAGATCATGTGGTATTTGTCTTTTTCTGCTTGGCTTCTTTCACTTAGGATAATACTTTCCAGGTCCCTCCATGTCATCTCAAAGGATAAGAGATCTTTCTTTCTTACCGCTGCATAGTACTCCATTGTGTATATGTACCACAGCTTTTTTATCCATTCGTCTACTGGTGGACACTTGGGCTGTTTCCAGATCTTAGCTATTGTAAATAGTGCTGCTATGAACATGGGGGTACATATATTCTTACTGATTGGTGTTTCAGGCTTCTTAGGGTATATTCCCAGCAGTGGGATCACTGGGTCAGATGGAAGTTCAATTTTTAATTTTTTGAGGTAGCACCATATTGTTTTCCATAGTGGCTGCACCAATCTGCATTCCCACCAGCAGTGTATTAGAGTCCCCTTTTCTCCACACCCTCGCCAACACTTGTTGTTTGATGATTTGTTGATGGCAGCCATTCTAACAGGTGTGAGGTGATACCTCATTGTTGTTTTAATTTGCATCTCTCTGATGCTTAGTGATGTTGAGTATTTCTTCATATGTCTTTTGGCCATTTGTATGTCCTGTTTGGAGAGGTGTCTATTCAGTTCCTCTGCCCATTTTTTTAATTGGGTTCTTTGTCTTCCTTTTGTGGAGTTGTATGAGAACTCTATATATATTGGAAATTAACCCCTTATCTGATACATCATTGGCAATGATGTTCTCCCATACAGTGGGTTGCCTTTCCATTTTGATGATTGTTTCTTTTGCTGTGCAGAAGCTTTTTAGTTTGATGTAGTCCCATGTGTTCATTTTCTCCTTTATTTCTGTTGCCTTAGGTGATGTATCAGTGAAAATTCTGCTCCGTATGATGTCCGAAATTTTGTTGCCTACATTTTCTTCTAGAATTTTTATGGATTCACGGGTCACATTTAAGTCTTTTATCCATTTCGAGTTTATTTTTGTGTATGGTGTAAGTTGATGGTCTAGTTTCATTTTTTTGCATGTAGCTGTCCAATTTTCTCAACACCATTTATTAAAGAGGCTGTCTTTACTCCACTGTATGCTCTTGCCTCCTTTGTCAAATATTAATTGAGCGTATTGCCTTGGGTCCATTTCTGGGTTTTCAGTTCTGTTCCACTGGTCTATATGCCTGTTCTTGTGCCAGTACCAGGCTGTTTTGGTTACAGTCGCTTTGTAGTATAACCTGATATCTGGTATTGTGATCCCACCTACTTTGTTCTTCTTTTTCAAGATTGCTGTGGCTATTCGGGGCCTTTTTTTGGTTCCATATGAACTTCTGAAGTATTTGTTCTAGTTCTATGAAATATGTCGTTGGTATTTTGATGGGGATTGCATTGAATCTATAGATTGCTTTGGGTAGTATGGACATTTTAATGATGTTAATTCTTCCAATCCATGAACAGGGTATGTGCTTCCACTTTTTTATATTTTCCTCTATTTCTTTTTTCAATGACCTGTAGTTTTCTGCAAATAGGTCCTTTACTTCTTTGGTTAAGTTTATTCCTAGGTATCGTAATTTTTTTGGCGCGATAGTAAATGGGATTGTTTTTTCAGTTTCTCTTTCTGTGAGTTCATCATTGGTGTACAAGAATGCCGTCGATTTCTTGACGTTAATTTTGTATCCTGCTACTTTGCCAAATTCATTTATTAAGTCTAATAGATTTTTGATGGAGTCTTTAGGGTTTTCTATGTACAATATCATGTCATCTGCAAATAATGACAGTTTCACTTCCTCCTTTCCAATTTGGATCCCTTTTATTTTTTCTTCATGTCTGATTGCTGTGGCTAAGACTTCCAGTACAATGTTAAATAAGTCAACAGATACTTTTTGAACCCCTGCTATGAGGCAGGCATACTTATACAGGAAATGGAGCAATAAACAAAGTAAAGTTCCCAACCCACATGAAGCCTACATTCTAGTAAAGGAAACAATTTCATAACCACAGTAGAGAGCCTGTTATTAATGTGTGTGATGCTGAAGATTTGATATACTCTTGCTTTAATTCAGAATTACCTGTCTTACAATGTACATTTTTCATGTAATCAGGAGATTTTATCTCACCTCCAGTAATTGCATGTTATTAAAGCACCAATTTAGTAATAAAATGTTCAAATGTAACAAATCTGTGACTCGTTAGCTAAGTAGAGAGGGAAGGATATAATAACATCAAGGTCCTTATCTCTTGGGTTTATTCTATACGAAAATTAGTTAATACCCCTCAGGCTCATAGCTGCTTACTACTTTGCTAATCTGGCCATCCTCCTTCAGAGGCATGCAGTAGGAAACAAGAGAAATCCGGGAATGATAGATTAGGGGTCTGTTAACACTGCTGGAAAAACAGTTTAACATCCAACACTCACATGATGGTATTCTAAGAGGTTTGTGAGACAATAGTGTCATTGTGATCAGACGTGGACTGGGGCAGTCTTCACACTAAAAGCTCTCCAGGCTTCCTTTGTCTCCAACAGCCAGGACAATCATGAAATCCTTGGGATGGGATTGTAGTTTTTTATTTTGGTGTTGCTTCTGTGGTATAGTCTTCAAGAGTTCCTGAATTAAACCATTTTTTTTTATCCTGACCCCAGGACATTTTTTCGTTTTTTGTTCAGATAGAGTGGGGAGGGAGAGAGAGGAAGAGAGAGAGAGAGAGAGAGAGAGAGAGAGAGACGAGTGAAAGGGACACATCGAGTGGTTGCCACCCGCACAACCCAACCAGGGCCGGGGACAAACTGCAACCGAGGTAGGTGCCCTTCGCGGGAACTGAATCCGGGTCTCTCTAGACTGCAGGCCAGTGCTCTAACCACTGAGAAAACCAGCCAGGGCGAATTAAACCTTTTTTAAAAATGTATCTTTATTGTCCAGGCTCAGTCATTAGAGCATTGGCCTGCAGACCAATGAGTCTCGGGTTCAAGTCTAGTCAAGGGCACGTACCTCAGTTGCAGTTTGTCCCCAGCCCTGGTCAGGGTTGTGCGGGAGGCAACCAGTTGATGTGTCTCTCATGTCAATGTTTCTCACTTCCTCTCTCTCCCTCCCTCCTACTCTATATGAAGACAAATGGAAAAATGTCCTCGGGTGAGGAATAAAAAAAAATTTATTGCTGAAAGTATTAGTGAATTAAACTGTTAATACAGAAAATTTAAGAGAATAACAAGCCCTAGCCATATGGTTCAGTTGGTTTGATCATTGTCCTGTACAGGGAAAGGTCATGGGTTCAATATCCCATCAGGGCACATATTTAGGTTGTGGGTTCAATCCCCTGTTGGGGTGTGTACAGGAGGCAATCGATGTTCGATTGCCCTCTCTCCCTCTCCCTTCCTTTCTCTTTAAAATCAGTAAAAACAGCCGTGGCCGGTTTGGCTCGGTGGTTAGAGCATCGGCCTGTGGTCCAGAGAGACCTGGGTTCGGTTTCCGCTAAGGGCATATACCTTGGTTGCAGTTTGTCTCTGGCCCTGGTTGGGTCGTGCAGGTGGCGGCCACTCGATGTGTCCCTATCACATTGATGTTTCTCTCTCTCTCTCCCCTCCCATTCTATCTGAACAAAAAATGGAAAAATGTCCTCCGGTGAGGATTAAAAAACTAACTGAATGAATGAATGAATGAATGAATGAATGAATGAATGAATGAATAAATAAAATAAAATCAGTGAAAACATATCCTCGGGTGAGGATTAAGAAAAATGAATAAGCAAATAGTAAATGTGATGGGGAGTGCTGAGAATTTAAGCTGACACATTCTGGTACTGAGAAGAGTCTTGAGGACCTGGTTTCATGTGTCTTGAAGGTCCTGTATGTAAAGGATTAAGAAAGATTTCATCCTGCCCCGGCTGGATTGGCTCAGTGGTTGGAGCGTCAGCCCGTGTACCAGAGAGGCCCTGCTTCGGTTCCCACTAGGGGCATGTACCTTGGTTGCGGTTTGTCCCTGGCCCTGGTTGGGGTTGTGCGGGTGACAACCACTCAATGTGTCTGTCTCACATTGACTTTTCTCTCTTTCTCTTCCTCCCTCTCTCCTCCCACTCTATCTCAAAATAAATGCAAAAATGTCCTCGGGTGAGGATTAAAGAAAAACAACAGAAAGATCTCATCCTAATGGAAGAGACCACAAGATAGGGTTGGAAGAAAGGAGTGGTTCTGGGCACAGACCAGATTTGTGGTTTTTTGTTTGTTTGTTTTTTAATCATTTTTTTATTTCAACTACAGTTGACATATATTATTATGTTAGTTCCAGGTGTATACCCCAGTGATTAGACATTACATAACTTACTAAGTGATCATCCGGATACATTTTGCACTCATCTGACACCATACATAGTTATTAGAATATTATTGACTATAGTTCCTATGATGTACCTTACATCCCCATGACTATTCTATAACTACCAATTTGTACTTCTTAAGCCCTTCACCTCTTTCACCCATTCCCCCCAAATCTTCTCCCATCTGGCAACCATCAGAACGTTCTCTGTCTCTAAGAATCTGTTTTTGTTCTGCTTTTTTGTTTATTTTGTTTTTTAGATTCACTTGTTGATAGATATGTACTTATTGCCATTTTATTGTTCATATTTTAAATCTTCTTCTTCTTTTTAAAGAAGGCCTTTTAACATTTCATTTAATACTGGTTTGGTGATGATGAACTCCTTAAGCTCAAATTCATGTTTGATTTCTAGGGAAAAGGAGTGAAAATAAAGGGCATGTAAAATCCAAAAGAGCG